AAGTAAGTAAGTAAGTAAGTAAGTAAGTAGTAGAGAGAGAGAGAGAGAGAGAGAGAGAGAGAGAGAGAGAGAGAGAGAGAGAGAGAGAGAGAGAGAGAGAGAGAGAGAAAGGGAGAGAGAGAGAGTTTTCTATATTTTTTATAAAATATAAAAATGGACGTATTATTCTACACTATTATTTAATTATATTTATTTTAATCATTCGTAGGCTTTTAGATAAATTTTTTAAACTTACGTTTTACATGATCTAGATGATAGCTAAGTGAATTCGTTTCATTTGCATTCGAAGCAGTATCAAAGAGAAGAGATTCCCATTGTGTTTCGGCGATAAATAAATTCATTATATCATAATCCGGAGGAATCTAAAAAGTTTAAAATATTGAAATAAATATTTAGTCAAGGTATTATATTTGAAACAATACGCCACCGTTGCAAATAAACTTTTGTTTTTTATCATAAAATATATTGTTTATGAAATAGTTAACAAAAGAAAATCAATGAATACAATGTAAATCGTAAATATTCACATAAGGTCAGCAACTTCAAAAGTCAACGACCTTGACATATGTTGTCAAGGACATATCCCCGAGTAACAATCAAAAAATTTTGGCCGTCGCTCGTTGTTTATTAAAAGCTATTAAAAACATTTATTAAATATATTATCGTACACTTTTCACGCAAAGCGAGATACCGTATGGGTTTACGAATTTTTACGCAAAGCGCGATTCAATCCAAATCTATGTGTCTAGTTTTCTGGTAGTGAAACCTCCTCGTAGGGAAAGGGCGGTGGCACACACTGCCACCATAAATAGGTCTTAAAGGTCCAAAATATCTTGATGGAATTTATAAAGAAAAACTGTAACAGAGTATTTCTCAAGAACTTGACCAACCAAGTAATTTTACTCATAATAAATATTATTTTACATATAAATTTTTATGTTTATTATAAACATCATTTTACTTGCAGAAAAAATACACAATTCTCTTCAAAAATTTATACAAATGTAGGAACGTGTTTTCGCTAACCGGTTCTCTCCATCTTGTATTGTTATCGTGTTTTATTATCAATAAAATTGAGTAATACATTAAAAGCATGTTCTGACATTCTAGAATGTTGATAAAATTTGGATGCATCATCAACCAATTCTTTATATAATGTGAAAAATTCACCTTCCGTTTTTTGTTTTCTCCATGCTTTATGAACCCATAAAATCCGTTTTTTTTTTTTTTTTTTTTTTAAGATTTCTCTTCGTCTAAAATTAATGCCATTTGTTTACCGATAGCTCTGCCATGTTCACAGTTAGATGTATGTCTGAAGACTGATGTTTCAAACCATTCAAAACATTCACGGATGCGATCCGGATATGTGTAAATATTCATATCCAATTTTGCCGGTACGGTATGGATACAGTACGGATACAATACGGATATGTATAAACGGGCCTTAATAATTACAAACAAGTCCGAGGTTATAAGATGGGAAGAAGCTCCGCGCTCAACTCTTCTCCGAAAGATATAGAGGTTGGATAGGGGATAAGATTTTCTGGGAATGTGGATGCAGAAAGAGAGAAACAGAGCTCCTTTTCCGCCACACGTTTAATCTTCTATTTATTAAATAAATAAAGCTGCTAACAATAAGAGTTTGTTTTATTAAATTTAAATAGTGTCATAAAATTACGTTCTATTCGGTAAACTTGTTTTGTTAATAATTTTTTTATAAATAACGAGCGACGACTAAAACTTTTTTTTTATTACTTTAAACAATTGACTTTGGTGGCATATGTCAAAGTTAAGACGATTGGATCTAATTGCGTAAATATAAATACTTACTAAATATAGTATATTAATAATAAAAATTTATAACAACCTGATGGAAGATATACGTTGCAAGCAATGTATCAAAACCTATTTTCGAGCGCAGCAACACATCACTATACCAAAGAGATACTATTTGATATGTTATAAAATATGACACTTTTATTTTATGCCGAATGGAATCTAAGTCTTCATCATAAATAATATCGACTTCTCTGAAAAATGTTTTCAAATATAAAAAGTTCGTCGACAATGTTTACTGTTATTAACCAATTCAATAATATAAGTCTTTAATATAATGAGTCTTTGTATTGTAGATATAACAAATTATTACAAAAATACATTTTTTGCAAGAAACAATTATAAAAAAATTTATTCTTTGTAATAATTTCACGAATATAAAAAGACAGAAGACAAGAACTCTGATGAGTTTTGATAAAATAATTAATATAATAAATAATACAATCGATTTATTTGTGAAACTTAAATCGTACAGATATTTTGCATGCTTCTTAAACTGAAGTTAAATCAAAATCTGATTTGACACAAAAAATAATTATTTCAAATTTTTATCTAAACTAAAGATAATGATATCTTCTTAATATGGCGCAAATAAAAATCTATAGATTTCAGTTATTTCCTAATTTATACATTGTGGCATGAAAATATGTATACCTTTCAGTTTTAAAATTACATTATTCAATAGTTTTACATTTTTTATTTAATAATTATTTTTGATTAATTTATTTTAGTTTTGAATATTACCTTTGTAAAATCAGTCCCGATGTCACAATGGTATTGTATTGAGTATCCCAAAGTACAACATAGTCTATTTTTGGTAATTTGTCAATACTATTTTCACGTTTCAAAAAGTATAGGACTTGTTGGGCAATAGATTTTGCTAATTGTAAATAGTATGTCACGTTTTTTCTACCCCAAACTGTGATGTTTGCAACCGAAGTAGAAATATTAGTGAATGTGGTTATCACAACATTTATATGTTTAATGAACATTGAAGGTGATTTCTCAAAATGTGTCCACATCATGTCACGTTTGTCATCATTTTCTGTCCTTTGTACAGGCATATTTGATAAAACTGAGTACTTTTTATGATGCTTGATGGAAAGTTTGAAGGTGGAATTAAGTGTTATCTCGTCCCAACATGGGAATAGTTGTCGAGCAGTCATTATATCAACACCTGTCGCATTTAATCTATCGTATTTTCATTATTCATTAACAATATGTTAATTATAAAATTAAAAAGAATAATTATATTTAAAGATCGACTAAAGATAGACTAAAAAAAATTAAATCACAGTTTGTAACATTGTACAGAATGTTTTGAATGTAGCAATTTTTGACACATATTTCTAAATTTTAAAATTGATAAATTTGAAATGCAGTGTTGATTCATTGTTATTCATTTATGTACTATTATGACTATTTTAAGCAATACGCAATTCTAGAGATATCATCTCGTTTATGAATGTATTTAACAAATATATTTTGAAAAGAATATTAGCGAAAATAGTCCTTACCCATACAGCACAGAACATTGCAATTACATTGCAGCAATGCTACAATCTTGCAAGTTGCAATGTAATATTGTTGAGACATTATTGCAACCTGTAATTGTAATATTTCATGAGAATGTAACAGCAACATTCCAACAACATTGCAATAGCAATATTTGGTAATCGCTAGTTCGTTTGTTTACCGCTATGCGACGCGCGTTGCAAAATCTATCTCGTATTTAAGTTTTAGTCATTATGATTATATGAAACTTGCAAAGAGTGGCTAGTAAGATTAAAGACATAGTAATTATTTTTATCAGTTTAATTTTTCTGATACGACCTCAACACAGGGAATTCAGATATTGAACTGATTGTTCAAAAATCGGACAGATAAATGTCTGAATAAATAAAAATATATGCAACATTATTCTAAGATTGCAATAACAATGCATTATTGCAAATTCATTACATTGCAATATTACTGTAATATTTCGTTACAATCTTCCTAAAAGCGGACATTTTAACGTTGCTGCAATCCCACAGCAATGATGCAACAACATTTTACAGTGAATTTGCAATATTGCAACATTGCGATGAAAGATTGATGCAATGTGTATGCAATCTTTGTGTGCTGTATGGGTATAGTATAATTTTGTTTCAAATATCTTTTTACTTACATATTGTCCGAATTTTCATTAAAGTATGAAAATGCTGAGATGTATTTTTTGTCATTGTTTATGTGACGCATATATGTTATTATTAGAGTGTATCTTCCAGGTGTTAAAAATTTTGGAAGCTTTGGCGTGTTGGAAAAATCAATCGTAAGCATGTTTAGTTTATTATTAAATGAATATCTTGAAATACTAATTTGTTCATTAGAAAGGTTGTCACACAAAACAATTTTTATTATAGCAAAAATCACTGGATGCATAGATATATTTTTTGTTTGACGATTAATAAGTATAGTTATATTACATTCACCAATAATGTCATTTGTTTTGTAACTAAATCTTATTTTGGCATCATATTGTAGTGGTGTTATAACCGGTGTTAAATATGATAAATGAATTGCAGTCTCATTTTCGGGATCAATAGCAGTGCAAAGTGCTATTGTAGCGATTAACATTATTTTGCCATTTGTTAAAAGCTTTCGGAATATCATATTCATTTTTCTTTATGTACAAAAAAATGTCTGAAAAAAATATTTGTTGGCAATTAAACATATACATTTGCAACACATAGTTTTTAATTTTAATATAACAGAGAAAGGCACATAATAACGATTAGAATTTAGACTGAAAAAATATAGAAAAAAACCGTGATACACTAAAAGAAAAGTGTGTCATGTCTTGGACTATAATTGCATGGTACTACAATTATAGTCACAATACTCAATTTTATAAAAATTGTCAGTATAATGTTAGCAATAATAATTTTATGCGTATAGTATTGGCAAATATATAGCCAATTATACAGGGTGGTCTATTTTAATCAATCCATTAGAACATCCCAAATCCTTATTTCAATTTAAAAAATTGTAAGAGATCTTGTTCTGTCTTTAAGGACATCTTCTTAACGAATGTTACCATTTTCTTTCCCCTTAGTAACTGAACAACTTTGGTCTGAAACATTTTTCTCTCAAACTTAAAGATTTTAAGATATTTTAGTAGATGGACTAAAATGGACCACCCTATAAAGTTATTATAGAACATTTAAAAAATTATTTGACGCCAAAAAACACCATTGATTAATGTTACTGCTGTTGCTCTTTTCTTTCAGTGTAAGATAAAGTGACAAAAAACATGGAAAAGTAAAATTGTTAAAATATGTCTGATAGTATCAGTATTTAGGAAGATAGTAATATTGTATATGAGTAATTTCATAACTGTTATCGAAGACATATTAAATATTTAAAAATGCCTGTTAGAATACAAAAATAAAACAAAGACGAAATTATAACTGACAGTGTTAGTAAGCCGAGAAACATTAACATATTACATTATTATGTTTCTAATTAGTTATGATATCTATCTCTCAAATACTCGCAAGCATGCTGCGCACGCCCACACACAAAGTTAATTGTTACTTCGCAGAAATGGTGATTAATCATTACACATGAAGAGACTAATACTGTACAAGATAAAAAATGTAAAAGTAAAAAGAAATTAGTGACACAATTACTTATTCAGAAAGAGATATAAGAAGATATAGTTGTATTTATAGTGCTTTATAAATTTTTCTACATTTTGAAATAGAAATATTATATACGGTCACTTACCTACATATATTAAAATCATCAATTAAAATTCAACGCTACGTGAAAATTTACAGTTTTGTAATAATAATACAGTTCACATCACTTTACACACAAATCGTGAATGCCAAAGGTATATAAATCAAACTGCGATTCACTGTTATCTCGGAGAAGACTCTGAAGACTAAGAAGCATATTCGTAACTGATATAATATATATGTTATGTCATACAAACAGTTACTAAGAGGTCACCTAACAGGAAAACACTTTACTCGTCGCTAGAAGAGCACAGAAATTAAAATTCATCATCAAAGTGTGCGTATAGAAACCAAAATTGTACAGTTTTTAGTTACTAACAAACAAAATTGTTAAAATACTTATAAATACATAAAAAATATTAACTTTGCGTGTAAAATTGTATTAAGTTATTGTGCAGTCAGACATTTAAGATTGTAAATCTAATAATACATATTTGTGCAATACACAGCAGTAAAATATGAGAGATTTACTAAACTGAAAATAAGTAATTAAATTTAAATTTAAATAATATTAACGTTTTACTTTAATAGTTTTTACGTTTTGTGAAACCAATAAAATTATTTTTTATAAGGACAAAATGCAAGAAACAAGTTTCCCAATTATAAATTTGTAATAATTGCTATCATATCTGTTAAAAATTTCTGTTAGATATCAAAACGACTATTTCATTTGAGTCTAAGATATTATGTTAAAGTGTTTAATTTTGAGAAATAAACAATTTAAATTCTCTTATTTTATTAAAAATGTATTGTAATATCGTAATTACTTTTTTTTACTAACATGGAGTATTCTTCTTATTTAGAAGACTATATAAGAAGAAACTAGTACATTAGGAATATGTAAAAATGCATTTTGTGTTATTGTCGTTATTACGTAACATGTATCAAAATTTCTCTGTACATTTTTTGTGATCAATTTCTCATTGTGTGGTAGTATATAAGATTTTATGCCGCGATTGTGAGGCTACCTATATGGGCAAAGACAAAGAGAAAACTTATTACTAGGATTAAGGAACGCAGATCTAAGGATATAAATAAAAATGGTGTGTCTCCTTCGGTCATTTCAAGATTAAACTCTTCGCATAAAATCGATTTGGATAATTTTCGTATATTAGATGAAGAACAATCTTAAGGGACTAATTTCGGAAGTCCTTTATATTAAGAGACAAAAAGAAGATTTAAATCTACAGATTTAAAAATCTCAAATTGGTAAAGCAGACTCCAGGATCCCCTTAAAATTGATCAATGATACATACAACGAAAGAAATCCTATGGAAAAATCCTCGTCCATCTTCCACTCGCTTTTGTAGACCTATGAGATTACAGTGGCTTCAAGAAACTGTTGTTTTATCAAAGGAAGAAGAAAAATATATAAATCAACAAATAAATATTCTGGAACCTTTCATATCGAATAACTGTAAAGTAAAATTTTCTTTAACTTCGACTATGATCGATGGAAAAGTAATTTTATCTTTTATAGCTGTAATTTATTTTTTATTTATGGCTTTGATAATTAAAATTTTATATTTACAGATATGTAACGCTTTGACTGAAACATCCAGTGCGCAATGTTATATTTGTGGAGCTAAAATTATTGAAATAAATAGCTTAAGAAATTTAGAACGTAGATTAGAAGATCCCTCAAAACTCAAATTTGGAATATCGATCCTTCATTCTTATATTAAATTTTTTGAATGTATCTTACCGAATGTACTTATCAAATATATATTTCTCATCGCTTAGATTTTAAACAATAGAAGTTTATCTCATTGATTGCGAACATTATTTTTGGCATGTAGCGGAATTAATAATTAATTAAGTGTACGACAGAAATTTTAATACTTTGTTATTATTTTAGTGACATTAATAATAATATTATATAATTATGTTATCATGATATAATAGCTTATAAAATACTACATAAAATTTGTATTAATTGACATAGTAACGCTGCTTTTTACGCAGCCAATTAGACATGATTTATTCCTGAATTCTCACGTCGACAAGTTACGCTTTTAATACATTATATTTATTAATAATAGCATATAATAACCATTATTAATAAATATAATGTATTAAAAGCGTAACTTGTCGACGTGAGAATTCAGGAATAAATATATATGATATATTTTTAAAAATAATGTACTTTAAAAGTATTAAAAAAATATATAATAAGAAATTTTTAATATTCAATTTCTCATTATATTTGTCATATCTGTTTAAAGTACATTACTTTTTGAAAATATAATAGTTGACACATTAGTGCAAGATATAAAGATTACGCATAAGCATCAATTGATCTTGGTCAATTTAAGATACATGCGTGCTGTTTGTTGAACTATTATTTCTTTGTTGTGTACTATTTGTGTGTTTTCACAAGTATCAATTTTGTAATTTTCCACAATAGTAATGAGCGATATTTTTGTTTGCAGTATGCCAAACCGTTCACCTGCGGAATATCATTAATAAGAGAAAAGAAAATAATTTTTATATTATTCTCTGCTGATTATTCAATTATTACAATAATCAACAATATTCTGTTTATTGAAATAACTAAATATTGCTTTTACATACCAATACAATTTCTTGGACCATGTCCGAAGGGTAAAAAATACATTGAAGGTCTTGATTTGGCCGCTTCACCCATGAATCTTTCAGGATCGTAGACTTCTGGTTTCGGATATATTTCTGAGTTATAATGAATGCCATGGACAGGTATACCGATTAATTGATTTTTCGGAATAGTGACTTTAGAATTTCTAAAAGTGTAGGCCGATGAAGCCTGTCTCTTTAATAGTTCTATTACCGGATACTTTCGCAACGTTTCTGGAAATCATTCATAATTATAACCGAAGTCCAACTTCTTTTTTCCTTATCTCTTAACTGTAAATTTTTTTGCATATGTTAAGTGTCTATTTTGTGTGTTTGTTCTTTTTTGTTCAGCAAATGTAGCTACCAATTTATTAAATAATTGACCAATGTTAAGTAATTTGGAAAAATTTAACTGTTAGTAAATAATGTTGACACTTTTTTTATAGAAAAGAATGTCTGAAGATAATGATAATAAAATTTTAAGTAGATTTCTTATTGTTATAAACAAAATAGAAGTTATGTTAGTTATTATTAAGATCAAACAGCTAAAAATGAACAAGATTATGATTTAATGAGTAAATATTTGTAAAATAAGACATTTATTATTTATTAGACAGTTTTTGAGTTTGCCATATTTGTTTTTTTTACCGAATAATTCTCAGATAATAATCAAATTTACCTTTAAATACTGCGTCCAAGTAAGACATTGTGTTTATATCATCATATGTTATTTCTTCTGCTTTTTTTCTGTTATTGGCTGCGCGTACACTTTTGATTTCTTTGCGGAGTCTGTCCTGGATCGATTGATTTACAGCCAATTCATACATTGTGTGAGTCATTGTTACGGAAGATGTTTCATATGCGGCAAAGAAAAATGCGAACATATTTGCAGCAATAAAGTTATTTGTACTTTCTATAGAAAAAAGTGCGAAAAATTGTATGTTAAATATTTATACTTACAGCATCAATGTTTAATAAATAAGAGTATTTCTGTCAACCTTTTATTATTTTTCTGAAAATTTTAAGAATTATAAGAAGTTTTTATACCTGGTTTAATCAACTTTCCATTTTCTTGGAGTTTCATAACGGCATCGGTAATATCGTGCCTAACAATACCATATTTTTTTCTGTAACCGTCAATATCTTTGACTAATTCGGTAAAAAAATGCAACTCTTCCGCATTGTTAAACATATAATAACCGAGTAAATCGTATAATTTGTTGTATATTACTATATCTGGTAGCAAATCTATCAACATTATTTTCAATTTATTAGCGTTCATCTTCTTTTTAATATATTGTAAAACTTTACTTTCGCCATCTCCTAAAGTCTGCATATCATAACCAAACAGGCAAGTAGCACTCAAGTCAGCGGTATATTTTGCCGTCACTTGGCTATAATTTATTTGCTCATTTTGCAATAACAGTGTGTCCAACCAATCCTTAAAAATCTCCGAGCGTTGCAGTAATAAAGGAACTATGCTCTTAAGTTTGCTTGGTGTAAATATGGGCGATACTTTTGCTCTTATGGGTTGCACTTCATCTGTATTCATGTAGAAAATTTGATGGCTTAACGGTTCTGCCTATAATAAATAGTGTTTCATCAAGATCAAGAAAGTTCAAGAAATCTTGTCTTGATCCTGTCTTAAGTCAAGACAAGACCAAGACAAGAAATTGGAAATTGATTTCAAGATAAGACAAGAAATTGTTATCAAGATCAAGATTTCTTGACACAAAATCAAGAAATTTCTTGAATTTCCGTGACGGAATAATGAAAATCAGGAATAATTAAAATATATATTAAGTATAATAATATTATAATAATAATTATTATTATATTAATTATCATTAAATGTCACAGGAAATGATTTATGTCAGGAATCTAAAGATCTGAAATAGTTACATTTGGCAGTAACCTCATGATATGAAAAATGATAATTTGAGAAATATTTTTAATCTTTATTGAACATTAATAAATTTGTGCATAATAGACATTATAGGTTTACTTTTAAACCACGAATTTAAATATAGTAAACTACGAGACGACTCGGCATTTAGTTTGTTTTTTATTGTCAGAGAAGCCTTCGAATGCAGTCTCTCCGCTGGAACCGATGTTGCCATTGTGGCTAAAAAATCTTTAGCCATCCTTGAGAGGGAAAGATCTTTCATGAATTGATCACCAATTCAAAATGTCGATGTTTTCGTCAACTCGATAAAGTGCATAATACTGCGTAAGCTCTTTTTTCCAGTAATTACTTCGGTCGCCATTGTCCGTTTCTTTTAAAAATAAAAAACTTATGTCCAAATCAAATTCATCTGTCTCTGCAGTTTGATCAGTACATCCATTATTATTGTCATTGGTACTATTAGAATTAACATAATATTGTTTTTTAAAAATTTCCTCAAATTTTGCCACAGATAGATCTTTCAAGTCCCTTCCCACGCTGTTTTGTCAAAAGCTTCAATTTTATGCCGAGGATTTAGTATCAATGAAACACAATACATCCAATTGGATTTTTTGTAGTGCTTTAAAATTTTATCTCTCGCCGATTGCAGGACAAAAATCAACTGTTCATCTACTGCACATCTATCGTTTTTATTATCCAGTTTCTGAGTCCATGATTCCAGTTTGTCTAATAATAGATTAATATCAATGACAACCATTGACAGCGTGCAGTATTTTTCATTCGAAAGTAAGATCGATAAACATTGAAATGGACGCAAGTAGTTTGTTACCAAGATGTTTAGAGCCCATTCTTCATTTGTAAGTCTGTACTTATTCAAACTGTGTCATGGACATTGCAACGTCAAAGTATGGTCTCATTAAGCACAACTGAGGCAGAATACATCGCGGCGAGCACAGCTAGTAGAGAATTAGTGTGATTGCGACGATTATTGGGTGATATCGATTGTCAATGCAATGAACCATCAGTCTTATTTGTGGACAATCAAAGTACGATAAAATTGATTAAAAATCCAGAGTTTCATAAAAGAACGAAACACATTGACATTCGATTTCATTTTATAAGAGAGAAATTTATCAGTGGCGAATTGATTGTAAAGTATGTCAGCACGAATGAGCAGTGTGCCAATTTCTTGACAAAAGCACTCAGTGCAGACAGATTAAACACGCTGTTGAGAACAATTGGAATGCGAGAGTGGTCATAAGATATCAATATTAAATTTACAAAAAAAAGAAGCACTTGAATAGTGGGAGTATTGAGTATTAAATTCTGCATGCCTATTTCTTTGTTTCATGTTCCGTAAAGCATATATATATATATTCCTTAAGGCTGTAAAAGCATAATGTTACGTACGCGCCCTAATGTTGCGATGCGAGCGTGGTTCTAAGTGTGAATTTCCGTTATTTTTGTTTTATCCCTCCTTTTTTACTCTTACTCTTCTCTCTGCGCGCTGCGGGGCTTTCGTCTGTCTGTCGTGCCCCGCTTTTCTAGTTAAGTATAAAACTTTGTTTTATCCAGTATTGTCAAGAATTCTATTATAGTAAACAATATTTGTTTTTATAACGGAATAATTGTCTTGGAATATCCTCTCTCATTGCCGGATTCTCTTGGAATCGTCCAAGAAAGACAATCTCAACATCTTTTATTTTGAGTAGTTTCAGAAATCTTGTACTGATAAATTTAAAATATGAGCAAAACACACGAAGTGTTTATTTTTGCTGTCAAAATCTTCTAATAAGGTGTTCAGATGATCCATAAATGTAAAATTTGAGGACGCATTATCCGTAGTTATTACTTGAATTTTTGATGACTTAATATTGTATTCTGCCATAGTGTTTTGAAATAGCGCTGCAATTTCTTTACCAGAGTGTCGACCTTTTGCGGGAACAAAATCCAATACAAAGGACTGGATTTTCCAATTACAATCAATGTAATGAGTAGTAATTCCGTAAAATGATTTGTTCGATATTGCTGTCCATTCGTCTATTGTAAATGATATTTTAGTTTGATTTTTATTTACTTGGTCATTGAAAATCAATTTAACAGCGTCTTGAACATATTTAAACTTAGTTAACATCAGTAATCGCATAGTATTCCTGTTTGGTAGAACAGCATAATTGTTTATATACAAAAATAAATTTTTCGTCGCTTTATCTTAAAAAAAATTAAATGGCAAATATTTGTTAACTAAATATTCTACTAAAAGATCATGAAATTTTGTCTGGTTAAATGCTGTTATTTTCTGAAAAGTAAAGGAAATAAAAAATCAATTTTAATACAACAAACACAATAACAACATCAATAATATGATAATAATTATTATTATTCTAAATTCTACTCCTACAACTTTATATCAAAGTTTGTGCGTTAGCCTTATTAGGCACCGTATTCACGATTTTACAGTTATACGGGCGTACTTACATTATCCTTGTCTTCTTTGTTAAATAAATGAATTATTGTTCGATTTCCTTGTGCGTCATTTTTTCTTGAATTTTTCTTGGGAAAATAACTTTGAAATTGTTTCTCATGCTTGGCTGATAGATGCCGTATAAGGCCAGAAGTATCACTCATTTTTATTACCGTATTTTCTCCTTTCTCTCCACATAATTTGCATAATCCTATTTTGTCTTGTTTTTTATCCATTGTTGTTATTTCATAAAAATTTTTAATTTTTTTACAAGAACGTTTTTCTTGTATTATGTATTATGTATTATCAATAGGACTAGTGTTAGTACTGACTGTTTTCTCTTTGATTTCTTCTTGATTATTTTTTTCTTGTAATTTTTTTGAAACTGTCTTGTGCGTAGTACCATTGTCTTTTGCAATCTTGTAAGGACAATTTTCTGACGAGTCACTTTCACTATCACTACTCATGTTGTCCTTTTTTCTTTTTGAAGTCATTGTTCGGTCGTTTTTTATTACGCGCTCAAGACGTTGACACTCCGAATGTTTGTCGAAGATTAAAGCAAAAAAGCAAATGAAAATGACATTAAAGTACGGCTCGCTATTTGCGATTTTTATTTGTTTTTTCGTTTTCGCGTACCACTCGGCGCTAAACAAAAGTCGAACACTTGCAACGCGACGTAGCGAGCCACAGAAGGGCCCTGCTGCACTATTATCAAATGGACACAAGCACCTCTTTTTTAACATAAAAGCAATAAAATAAAAAAGATGTTTTAATATTTTATCAGGAGTGTATTTATCATAAAATAGTGCAGTTAATTTTACTAGAAAATATCTATACCTCATTACCATTTTTTATCAAAAATTAAAACATAAGATAACAATTTTAATAATATAAAAATTACAAAAAAAACCGTCATTTTTACGTGCTTAGATATTTTACTAGGATTTTGTATTTACATTACTATATAGCTAAATTTTGATAAAATTAAATACACCATTTTATTCTATAAAAAACAAAGAAAAGAATATACCATTAATGTGTTTAATACTATTTTTCTATTATTACGTAATTATTGTACATTATACTTTGTACATTATGGTGGGAGTTTTGATAATATTAACATAAAATAGATAAGTATTTTTTTACAAATTGTAATATGTATAAAAATATCAAGAAATTTTAAGAAATTCAAGATTCTTGAATTCAAGACAAAAAATACAAATGTCAAGAAATGATCAAAACAAGAAAAATGAATTAAATAGAATATAAAGCTCTGGTGATTTTTAAATCAAATAGAATCAATAAGAAGCATAAAGAGCCAAAATGCTAGGTCTACGTGCGAAGGTTATAATATATTCTTTAAAAGTGTTTACAGACGTTTCGGCCTGGAAAAGTTAGGAAAAGGAGTATGAAATTGAAGTTCAACATGGAAAGTCTTCTGTTTTTAACTTTTCCACCTCGTCTCGTTTACTCGAGCGAGCGCTTCGCCATCATGTATTAACACAATCCTATATAATTAACGAACTACAATATGGTCGAGAAAGGATTGCTATTACGTCTCCTACATCGTTTTTTCTTGTAATATTTGCGAATATATCGTTATTTTGTTGTTACTTATTGTTACATTGAAGAAGGCCTGATAACAGGCCAAAACGTCTGTAAACACTTTTAAAGAATATATTATAACCTTCGCACGTAGACCTAGCATTTTGGCTTTTTATGCTTCTTATTGATTCTATTTAAAGAAAAACGAAATTTCTTGTCTTGCAAATCGAGACAAGACAAGAAATGTTCTTCAAGACAAAGAATCCTGTCTTGATGAAACATTAATAATAAATATGTATAAATTTTAAATGATAACAATATTATAGTTAAGAATCTTGTAGTTTTTATAATATCTAAGAGAATATGTAGAATTATTTTTGTCCAATATGTTCTTAATCTGCCGTATTAGAATTACATTAGAATATTAATTGACAGCAAATTTGATCGCATTTGAACATTTGGCTTACTAGCATTATATGGTTTTATATGGTTTAAATTAAATTTTTAAAATTCTTTAAGAAATTTTTTAGCGATGAAAACTATTTTTTAATATTACATTTCCAATTTAATATTTAAGAGATTTAATAAAAAAATAAACAAGTAATAGCTAGTAAATAAAAATTATAATTGTAAACACTTTACGTACCTTTTTAGAATAATTAAAGCCTCGCCTTGAAAATATTGCACTGTCTGTAATTAAGACATCCTTGATCAATTCAGGATTGTTGACCATTAAAATCGGCACCGTTTGGTCGAAAAATCCTATCAACGGCTCACTTTTATACGTATTGTATATCTTTTTGTGATAATCTTTTTTACTCATTCTCTGTAATATGACATCCTTCATAGTGCCAAAGAATAGTATGGGTTCGGGCCCGGGTACACCACGCTTCTTCCAGAAATTAAATTTTATCTTGTAATAATAATAAAGCGCAAGGAAGAAGGCGATGAATCCGTATAATAGTTCAAGAAGTCCTAACATCTTTGATGTCTGTTGGAAACAATTTGTCATAATTAGAAAATAAATGCAAAGATTTTAAATTACATTATTGATAGTTCACTATTATTTTTCACAGATATATTGATTGAATAATATGATTTAGCAGATATTACTTACACGATAAAAATTCAGAGAAAAGTGAAATATCAAGAATGTGTGCCACGCTATGATACAAATTTTACGTGCACTTTTGACTACCTCACGTATTTGAGAAAAAACAATTCTATGTAATGACTTGGACGAAGAAGCGTTTATAAATATGTGTCTGAAATGTTACAATATGTATTCTGTTACGCAACAGTTTTCTTTTACTTTCATTTCTTGCAATTGTTTTTCTTCTAGATTTTGTAAATACGTATTTTAAAACTGTTACATGGTAAGTAGTGAGTGATAAGTTAACAAATGTACATATAATACTTGCATGCGCATATGTATTTAGAAATTTGGAATGCGTGCTGCATTATTTACTAGCCGTACTATTACCAATACTACAAAATTAAATTTCTAAAAGTATTCGATTCTATCATTATGTTAAACATGACTGTTGCTGACGTGAATTTTATTATTAAATAAACACAAGTATAGATTTATACAAACTTGTGTAATTAAAATAATTTTAAATAGCATTAGTTGTTAAATAACAAGTCATTGTTTTGGGATATCAGTAACAAGTTTCAAAATTTTACTATTCATTGAAAATGTATATTTATAAGGCCAAATGTCAAGTTGTAAAATAGCTTATTGACTTTTCGCTTGTTATTGCTATCAATGTAATAATAATATGTATAGAGAACTACTACATTATCATATTACATGTCGCATTAGTACATTAAAAAAAATTCAATTAAAAAAGATAAAAAAATTAAATAGTATTACTATATATTTTATTATTGATTAAATATACAAATATTGCTCTGTGAAAATCTTAAAATTACAAAAGTATTTTTAACAGGAGCGGTTAGATGCTGCTTACTTTGCATTATAAGCGAAAGCTTTCATCAAGCTTTCATAAAAAACGAACATTTATCAGGCGGACCCTGGTAGAAATTGCCAGTTTAACGCCAAGACAGAAGTATGGGTCTCACTTGTTTGCCAAGACGTAACCTATCTAAAAACATTTAGAAGGGCTATAGTATGGCCCAGAATGATATTTAGTCTGGCGCTATGTTTAATCAGTAGCGTTCGCCAGTCTTTGCTGCCAGGGAAAAAAAGTTTAGGCCTTACTTGTTTACCAAATCATAGCCTATCTAAGAAAATTAGAAGGGATAGATAGATAGATAGTGCCAATTCACAGCCCCAGTCGCCCCAGTATTGCGGTAAATCTGTGGCGCTGGCACAGCCATTTATGACGATTTCGTGTGTGGTCCCGACTAATTCGCCAGTATCTGACCCGAGTTGGTGACTGACGAGCTAGTCGGAGCCATAATAATACCCAGAGTGAATTTCTACCAGGGGAATGTTGTTTTTAACTGTCGCTAGCATTCAACCACAAAATCCTTTTTCTAGGTCAGGAGTGCATCCTACCGCTTTTTATCGCGCCAAAGGACATCTGTTAATTTTTAATACTTATAATCGCTTTCAATTCTGCATCCAAGTCATTGATGAGTTCGATATCATCGTAGAATATGAGTATCACTTTCGCACGGCCTTCACTCAACGCTTGACAATGTGCGACTCGAAATTCCATCTTTCCCCAGACGCTACCCAAGAAATTTGGCGACAGGATCACTATCGTCCGCCTCGAATTTTGCACGAATCTAGCGATAATGTCCGATATACATTTGTCTATTGAGCAATCTCGATAATGCAGGTACAGTTTGTATGGTGTAGGGTCGTTCTCTAGCTTCGGTACCAGCTCGTTTATTACAAAACTGTGATCGTTATACGAGTAGCTCACGAACGCGTCATATAACTTTTCTTCATCCAGTTGTTTTTCTGTTACAAACCGTGAACACCATTCATGTGCAAATAGCCATATCTTAATGTGTTCCTGGTATTTATAATATAATCCAAGAATGCAGATGATGAATCCTGTTAGAATAATCAGTACGCTTATAATGATAATCGCTGTTGTGTCAAGCGGACAAAAGTCATAGAAACTCATATCTCATACGGATTTATTTATTCCGTGATATATTATTTGCGACACTTTAGATATTTTAGTAATCTCTCGATATTCTGTGTGAATAAAATGTAAGAAATCCACAGCATCACAGTTACATTCCCACGGATTATCGTATAATGTCAAATAAATTAAATTAGTGGAATTTCGGAAAAACTCTAATACAGGCCTTGGTAGAAATTCACTCTGGGTCTTATTATGGCCTTGATTAGCTCGTCAGTCACCAACTCGGGCGTGATACTGGCGAATTAGTCGGGGCCACACACGAAATCGTCATAAATGGCTGTGCTAGCGCCACAGATTCACCGCAATACTGGGACGACTGGGGCTGTGAATTGGCACTATCTATCTATCTATCCCTTCTAATTTTCTTAGATAGGCTATGATTTGTTAAACAAGTAAGGTCCAAACTTTTTTTTCCCTGGCAGCAAAGACTGGCGAACGCTACTGATTAAACATAGCGCCAACTAAATATCATTCTGGGCCATACTATAGCCCTTCTAAATTATTTTGGATAGGCTACGTCTCGGCAAACAAATGAGGCCCATACTTCTGTCTTGGCGTTAAACTGGCAACTTCTACCAGGGCATAATCAACAAATTACTGATATATATTGATGCAACAGTTACTGATATTTATTGATGTTTGTTTCTAAAGTCTATCAGAAAGTTGGTAATAACCGGCCTTAAAATTTTAATCGCGTTTTTCTCAAAATTTAGTTTATGAAACTAATGTGCAACATATTCCAGTCAGTTTTAGTCTAATTAATTTAAAATTTTTATTACATTATTTTTGACAGTATGTTTTATCGTCATACGTACAATCTTTACTTTATAACAATTTGATCATAAAAAATTTTTTTAATTAATTTTTTTGCAATTATGCGTAATTTTTATAATTCTTTCAATTTTTTAAATGCTAAACGTACAACTGTAACGTAACTCCAATATTGTTTTTTATCTCTTACGCGAGAATAACGCGCATAGCACGTCAATTGTTATTTGTTCCAAATGTAGGAATGACGATCGTAACACGTAATTTATATAAAAATTTTTTTAAACAAACAAACTTGTTGCTTTTATTTAAAATTATTTTTATAAATACTTAAACGTTGTTCATTGGACGGGTTGGACATGCTTGCCTCTGAATTAATTGCCAGCAAAATTGATTCAAAATCTTCTTTTTGTTTCGGATAAATAGTTTTTGCACACGCTAATGTTATATTTTGAGAAATATGGATTTTTGAAGCAGACATATTACATACAAAGATATCATTTATTTTCTGTTCCACGACATTAAGTATATAATTTATGTAAGCAATCAAAGTATAATAGAAGAAAAATTGTTAGTCAACTTTTTTTATTTAAATAAAATTCCTCAAATACTTCTTCATCTCAGCGCGGTCATAATAGTCTCTTCTCTTAAAATCAAATTCAGACACACCTTTTTGTAGTGAAGTAACATACATATGAGTGCTATCAAATTCCACAGAAAGTACAGTGTTGATAGAAACATACATACCATGTATACCATATACACCATACGTCTGAAAATTTTTAAAACAGTTAATAATAAGTTACTAATAAAGATCATTGCAAAATACATAAAATTTAAAAGTAATACAAACTTTAATGCGATTACTTGATCTTTGATCCCATAGAATTACTGAACCAATACCCGTCCCTGTCATAAAACTATATAAATTATCTGAAGAGAAACAACGCAATTCATAATTTTTGCCTTGGAATGGAGAATTCCATGTACGTACAAATTTTGATTCTCTAAAATCACAGTAACAAATATAACTAAAATATAACTAAATTAAATGGCCAATTAATGTCGACAATAAGATTTATTACCTTGTATCCATTTTTCTAATCTGACGTTTATATAGCATGAGAATAGTGTGAGTATCTTGCCATAGTAGTTGGGAACAAGTATCATCACTTATGCATTCATCCGTTACCATACAACTAAAATAGCTTTACATTAGTTTATTGCATATTATTCTCCATATACATAAAAACCTACAAGACTGGAGAAAGGAGAACAAACTCCTCTCCTGTCATCGGGCTATATAATATACTGGAGTGAGTCGTTCTGTACGAACTAATATGTAGCTTGCGGCCAAAGGATTGCAATAGTAAAGTATCCGTTTTCTTTCCACATTTACTACCGTTATGATGGGAGATATTATAAAAACGAAGACAGACATCAGACAAATTTTCTCTAATACCGCCCTCTCTTTTTCACAGTGGCCACCACCACTCCTTTAAAGTTCACACCAGTATGTTATATAACTCATTAAGTTATAATTACAAATTAAAATCATATAATAGTGTCTGTACAAACATAGTCAACCTTTAATTGTACAGTTGTAAAAATCGATTAATTAATTGAAACATAACTTACTTTTTATTAATATCATAAATTAGAAGTGATCCTTCTGCACTAGCAGCAACTTTTGTTTCTGTAGGGTCTAATGAAATTGACTGAATCAATTTCTTGCCTTTATAAATTGTTTTATTTTCTTCCGCAAAACCATCATCTTCAAGTGTATTTTTCTGTATCTAAACAAACACGGACTTTTTACATAGTACATTAACATAGCATAATTACAGATTTTTTAATCATACCTTTATTAAATTTGAAGAACTTGATATAATATGTTGCGTTGTTACTTCTAAACGTAATCATCATATACATTGGAATGTGCTTTTAATTGTTGAATATAATTAATGTCATTCCATAATTCAATTCTCCAGTGCCGAATACTGCCATCTCTGCAAGAATTTTTGTAAAAAATAAAAAAAAGAAATAAACATAAAACAAAATTTATAAATAAATATTTACACGTGGCCGCTTATAATTATATCATTGCAATGAGCAATGCTTGAAAATTCACTGTTACAAGTTCCAATAATTTTGTCTCCTGTAACGTTACCGTCGTCCTCTGCACGATTAAAAGCTGAAAGAGTCTTGTTGTAATAAAACCAAATAGTATTTTTAGTCATTTTTAGGCATTTTTCCTTCATTCTGTTGGCTCTCTTATCTTTTTTGAAAATTGTTTTTATTGCAGATATGTCATTTCTTTGATATATTTTATTTTTCCAGTTGTAATGCGTAATAAATTTAGAATCATACGAAGATAATAGTGGTTGACATCTGTAAAAGAAAATAAGACGTACATTTTTCATTGTAATTTTATGTAAAATCGTGAATATTTTACGTACTGATAATATGTAAATATTAAAATGTATTTTAAAATGTGAAATGCTTAAACAATTAAATCAAGTTTTGCAGAATTAAAAATGCGACAAAAAGCTATGACTTAACGTTAATATGTATGTAAAAGATTTATCAACATATATTGTACTTTATTTGAAAAAAAATATTTTTGTTATCTGAGAACACGTTTCTATTAATAACTGCTTTTATGAAGACTAAGAGTGAGATTTTATCGATTGATTTTGTGCAAAAGTACAGAGAAGACTATAACATCGACAGATATAACGTATAAATTTCTTATAGCTATTGATTGAAAAATGAAAAAGGAAGCATATTATTGCTGATGGGCATGTATGAGAGAATGGAGATGTGATGTAAATAATCCGCGGCAGAGACAGATAGAAGAACTGTCGAAAATACATATGCTGGCAAAAGTCGTTACTTGAAGAAATATAGTATTGAGAATCATTAGCGAGCATGTGATTTTAAGAGCAGGAACAATACTATAAAGCAAAAATTATAAAAAATCTGTTTGATAGATTACGTGTTACTAATAAAATTCTAAAATAAATAGAAATACAAATAAGAATTAAGTTATATTTAACTTACCGTTCACGAAATTTTTCTGACATCTGATTCGTAACAAGCAAATGGTTACTTTTTTTATCTAAGACCTGTCTTGATATTACATCAAATTTCTTGCATATACTTCTGAGCTGTAGTAAAGTATATACATCACAACAATTGAAAATTATTAACAATATTTCGTCCGGTAAAATGTCTAGGAGAGACATATTTGTCTTTTTAATTGGATGTTATCACACGAGAATATGAACACTACAGTATGACAATCGGTGTGGCACTGAACACTAGAACCTCGAATCAGAGTTGCTAGAGCGAGGGGCCTGATCACTGACATCTATACTGTAGGCTGCTAATACCACACTGGCGTCAAATATATAAGAAAAAACTCTACGTATTAAATTTTTGCGCATGTCAAAACGCTGATGGATAACAGTTACCTTTTAATTGATTGATGAATCTAAATGTTATGAATATAATATAATTTAAATCACAAGATTATAAAATATAATATTTTATTATAATAAATAAATAAATATATATATATATATATATATATATGTATATATTTATTTATTTATACTTATACTATTAAGAAATGAAAAATTAAAAATGCAAAAAATACAACTTTTAAGGTAAAAACTGAAATGTATAAAATAATTACTGTGAATTGTATTTATTTAGCAATGTTTACGCAGTTATACAGTAATGTTGCAATTCTTAAGGATATTTGGAGAATATTTAATATCTTTACATATCTTTTTAATGTTAAGTTCGGTTTGACAATTTTCGATTAAGGGTCGATTCTTTCAAGTTTTTGATCGACTTTGCCTTTTGGTTACTTAAAATAAATATCAGTAATCCTTACTCGATGGTTGGAATAACAAGTAAAATTACTTCTTGGTAATAATAATTTAATTTGTGAATATTATCAACAAATTACTGATATTTATTGATGCACCAGTTACTGATATTTAATGATGTTTGTTTCTAAAGTCTACCAGAAAGTCGGTAATAACCGGCCTTAAAATTTTAATCGCGTTTTTTTCAAAATTATGTTTATTAAACTAATGTGCAACATATTCCAGTCAATTTTGGTCTAATTAATTAAAACTTTTTATTACATTAATTTTATTAATTTTGACAGTATGTTTTATCGTCATACGTACAATCATTACTTTATAACAATTTGTTCTTAAAAAAATTTTTTTTTAAACATGCGTGATTTTTATAATATTTGAAATTTTAAATTCTCTACGTACGACTATAACTCCAATATTGTTTTTATCTCTTACGCGAGAATAACGCGCATAGCACGTTAATTGTTATTTCCAAATGTAGGAATAACGAGCGTAACAAGTAGTCTTCATAATAATTTTTTAAAACAAACAAGTTTGTTGCATTATTTTAAATTAATTTTATAAATATTTTTGACGTTATTTTTTGGACGGATTGGACATGTTTATTTATGAATTAATTACCAGCGCAAAACATTATAAATCTTTTTTTTAATTTGGACTAATAGATTTCACACACTAATATTATGTCTTGAGAAATATGAACTTTTGAAGCAAACATATTACATAAAATTATTTATTATTTATTTTCTATTTCATGACATTAAGTATATAATTTATGTAAACAATCAAAGTATATAGAAGAAAACAGAAGAAAAATTGTTAAACTTTTTTTATTTAAATTAAATTGCTAAAATACTACTTCTTTTTTTTAGCGCGGTTATAATAGTCTTCTCTCTTAAAATTAAATTCAAACACACCTTCTAGTAGTGTAATAGCATACATATAGGTGCTATCAAATTGCACAGAAAATACAGGGTTGAGAGAAGTATGATTTATACAATATATATTATAGGTCTGAAAATTTTTAAGACAGTTAATAATAGGTTACTAATAAAGGTCATTACAAGATACATAAAATTTAAAAGTAATACAAACTTGAATGCAATCACTTAATCTTTGATCCCATAAAATTACTGTACCAATATCCGTCCTGACATAATAGTATAAAAATTATCTGAAGAGAAACTACATAATCCATGATTTTTGTTTAGCATTGAAGCATTCCATGTACGTACAAATTTTAATGTTCTAAAATCACAGAAACAAATATAACTAAATCGAATAACCAATTAATGT